CCACACCGCCTCCTTCACAGCTTCTGACGCAGCAATATACTCCGCCTCCATGGAAGATAATGCCACTGAATCTTGCTTCTTACTACTCCAAGATATAGCGCCACCAGCTAATGTAAATAGATACCCACACGTAGACTTCCGGTCATCCAGATCACCCTGCCAATCAGCATCAGTATAGCCCTGCAACTGTAGATCCGTTTGGTTAAAACAGAGTGAATAATCTAGTGTTCCTTGAACATAACGAAGAGCATGCTTAATTTGATTCCAATGCCCAATTCCTGGATTCATTTGATATCTACTCAACACTCCAACAGTATAGCACAAATCAGGGCGTGTGAATAAAATGGCATACATCAAAGATCCCAAGGCAGAAGCATATGGAGTCTTCTCCATTCTCTTCTTTTCCTCGGGAGTTTTAGGACACATCCCCTCACTGAGTTTAATTCCTACAGCCATGGGCACTAAAGCAGGCTTGCAGTTTTCCATAGAGAAATGTTTAAGAACAGATTTTAAATAATTCCTTTCAGACAAACCCAAAGTACCTTTATTCCGATCTCTAAGTATTTCCACTCCTAGAACATAGGAAGCGTTTCCCATATCTTTCATTTCAAATGTAGAAGATAACCAAGTTTTAACTTCTACCAACATTTCCTTACTACTAGAAGCAATAAGTATATCATCAACATAAAGTGACAAGAGTGTAAAATTTCCTCCCACTATTTTAAAATAAATGCAATGATCTCCTTCCATCATAGAAAACCCATATGATGTGATAGCATCATCAAACAAAATATTCCATTGTCGTGAAGTTTGCCTAAGACCATAAATAGATCTATTTAGCTTACACACTTTTCCCTGATTTTCCTTTTCAACAAAACCATCAGGTTGAGACATATAAATCTCTTCCTTCAAATGACCATTCAAGAAGGCAGTTTTAACATCCATTTGATGAAGTTCCAGATCAAAATAAGCAGTCAACGCAGCAATAATACGAATAGAAGTAAATTTTGCTACAGGGGAAAAAATTTCCACAAAGTCAACGCCTTCCTTTTGTGTGTACCCTTTAGCAACCAACCTAGCTTTGTATTTTTCAACATTACCAGAAGCATTCAGTTTCCTTTTAAAAATCCACTTTGATCCAATTGCCTTTCGGTCATTAGGAAGATCAACCAATTCAATTCCCAAACTTTATTTTTTTTCATGGAGTATAGTTCCTCACGCATGGCTTCCATCCATAACTTTGATTCTGAACAAGACATGGCATGTTTAAAAGATTTTGGTTCTTCCTCCAAACTAGAAGTTTTAGAGTATACTTCCCCCATAAATACATAATAATCATCAAGGTATTATGGGGCTGCTACATTCCTCCCACTTCTCCTAGGTAAACTAGTTATGGGAGTCTCAACATTTACGTTGCCATCCATTTGGTTTTCCTGATTGTTAGAATCAGTTTCAACATTAGTATCTAACGGGCTTGTCAATAATTCCACTCTCGCACGTTTTGCACGGCGAGGTGTATCTTGATCTAGAAAAATTGCATCTCTACTTTCAATTAACTTCTTCTTCTCTGGATCATAAAATCTATGTCCATTTGAACCAGAAGCATATCCAATAAATATTCCTGGAAAACTCTTAGGTTCCAGTTTTGTTCTTAGTTGACTAGGTACTCTAATCTGTGCATTGCATCCCCACACTGCTAAGTTCAACAATGTAGGTTTCCTCCCTTTCCATAATTCATAAGGAGTAGAACTAACAGATTTAGAAGGTGAATGATTAAGCAAGTAAACAGCAGTATGAAGAGCCTCTCCCCAAAATGATAAAGGAAGATCTGAATATGCCATCATAGACCTAACCATGTCCATTAAAGTTCTATTCCTCCTTTCAGCTACGCCATTTTGCTGAGGAGTATATGGTAAGGTATAATGGTGAATAATTCCATTTTCCTTGCAAAAACCATCTAATATTCCTGATGTGTATTCACCACCATGATCAGTTCTAAGCACCTTGATCTTTTTGTTCAACTGATTTTCTACCTCGGCTTTAAATAACTTGAACATGTCAAAACCTTCCGACTTATGCTTAATTAAGTAAACATAGCCGTATCTAGAGAAATCATCTATAAAAGTAATGAAATAGACCTTCTTACCAAATGTAGGTATAGGCATCTCACCACAAATATCTGAATGAACAATAGCAAGTGGTTCAGTAGACCTTGAAGCTTTAGGAAAAGGCGCCCTGGTCATTTTTCCTACAACACATGCCTCACAAATGTCGTAGTCTTCCCACTTGAAGTTTAAAAATCCAGAACTAATTAGCCTTTTAATTATGTTCTTTGAGATATGACCCAAACGAAGATGCCAGAGATATGATTCTGAACAATTATTGCTTCCATCTATATTCCTCACTACCGAGTTCTGTTCAGTCACCATACAATCCATCCTATCGATGTCCATAAAATCCTCAATATAGTAGAGACCATAAAATCTATTTCCTGATTGAACTAAAATTCCATTCATCAGTATTTTAACTTTGCCATCTCCAAATAAGACCCTAAAACCTATAGATTCCAGTCTAGAAACAGAGATTAAATTCTTTCTCATGCTAGGGGAATAGACTGTGTCTTTCAAAATTAATTTTCCTCCATCGGGGAGTTTGAGTGTATAATCACCTATGCCCAAGATATCATCTTTTGCAGTTGTTCCTAGATAAATAAATCTAGTTCCTTTCAGTATGGGTTTTAAAGAGGTGAAACCAGCACTATTCCTTGCAATATGTGAAGTGGAACCAGAGTGTACTACCCAATGATCTGAAGCTGAAGTAGTAAACAATGATTCAGAACAAACAAATAGATTGTACGTACCATCAGGAGAAGAGTTATCCTTCTTGTTGCCCTGATGCTTGTCCTGATGCTGCTTCTTAGACTTTTCATCTTGTTTATAAGGCTTCTTATTCTTGCACTCAGTTCTAAAATGCCCATACTCTCCACAACCATGACATCTAAATTTCCTCTTATCAAAACTAGAGTTTGGACCTCTTCCATTATGATCTTCCCAGTTTCTCTTCCTGTTGATTTTGTCCCTCAAATCACCTCCTTGATTCTTCTTCTGCCAACGCCTCCTATCTTCACCAAGGTGTAACTCCTGATGATGTGAGTGTGTCTCTTTACCTTGTGAAGTTTTCCTATCTTCTTCCATGAGCAAATGATGCCTCAAATTGCGCATGTTCAGTAATCTTTCAGAGTGGCAGAATGATATTTTAAATTGTTCCCAAGTGTGCGGAAGTGAGTTCACAGCCACCATTACTTGCACCTCCTCAGAAAAGGGATAGCCATCATTTTTCAATTCCTCATTCAGCACGCACAACTTGTTTAAGTGCTCATTGACAGAAGTAGTATCTGTCATCTTAGACGTCAAGAATCTGTTCAGCAAACTAAGCACTTTGATTAAAGAAACTTCACCAAAATCCTCTTCCAGCCTTCTCATAATTCTGTGTGCAGCAACCTCTGTTTCATATTCACCTGCCAACGAATCAGACATGGAGCCAAGAATAAAAATCCTAGCCTTTTTATTGTCCTTATTCCACTCCTTGAGTTCTTCTGCATAATTATCCTTTTCCTCATCTGAAGCATCATCAGCAGGTTTGTTAGGCTCGGCTGTAGAAATTACATACTCAATATTCTCAGCTGTAAGGAGAAACATCATCTTCCTTTTCCAAACAGTGTAATTTGTGCCATCTAATTTGTAGTTCCTGAGCAACTCAGCAAACACGCTATTGGAAGCCATCTATCCACAAAGTTCAAAACAGAAAAAATTCCTTTGGTGGTGTTGAACCGGAGCAGCAGTAACAGATGAGAGGCCTGACAAATTCCGAGCAGTCGTTCGTGGATAGCTCGTGTACCTGAGGACTCGTCGAGGTGGATGGCTTGGAGCGGTGACGGGCGGCTGGACGAGAGCTTCCGGCGGAGTGTGGATGGAGATCGGGCCGCCGGCGGAGTCGCTGTCGGCGAGGCGAGAGTGCGGCGCGGCGAGGCGAGAGTGCGGCGTGGCGAGGCGACAATGCGGCGCGGCGCGGCGAGGCGACAGTGCGGCGCGGCAGGACGACAGTGCGGCCGCGCGAGACGGGAACGGCGAGGCGAGACGAGAAAATCGATCTGGAGCGATTCCTTTGCGGCGGAGCGCACACGAGATCAATCTAATCCAAGTTGGACTTGTGAGCGACTAGTTGACCACAAGCAGAGTACGCAGTGGAATTGTTTTCCGATCGAATCGAGTCATACGACTATTGTCGTTAACCCTAATCCGCTCTGATACCAATGTTAGAAATATGTTGTGGTCTATCCCCTATTTTTCCGTGCTTTTCCGTAATGCCGCTCACAATCGCATATCCGATGCTAGGGGATAGGGACCTTCTTATACTGTGTTTTCAAAGAGTCCACCTCTTATACAGTTATAAGATTCCTAGTCTTTAAACTAGTTTTCGGATAGAGTCCAAATCAAACTACCAACCACGATATAATTTGTCTATTAGTGGATCCTATCCATCGAGTCCCTGAAGCACGCGCCTGTGAGCAACGCGTCATAATAGAGTATAAATTCCTCTAATTATGTAGATCAACATTAGGGCCGTAATCTAATTACACGATCTAGCTTCTTCCAATTATCAGCGTACCCGGGTAGTCTTTCCAATATATAAAGCATATTGTATTCCACCGATAATTGACCGGTTTCCTTAAGCATGCAACAGTTAAGTACATTCCAGCAAGAGCAATTCCATGCACAAAACACATGTATAATTCCATATGAGGTATTCCGAATATTAATGATAATAAGTATTTGAATATAGTTGCAGGACACATAATCCCAACAAGTTTTAGGAGAACTATAATCCTCACGGCAAATGTCGCAGCGCGCGTGATCAAGCTAGTATTAGGAGAATTTTAGCCCTCACAACAATAAGCTCACACATATACACTATATTCTTCACTGCGTTGATTTTGTAAGCTACAGCCTTGATGCTAAACCACCACCCAGCTTCTGCAGAAACTTCTGGTCAACCTCTTGAGGTGACATGATCTGAATGGACTTGATGCTGATCACAAACTCCCTGCAGCATCCATGTCAAAAATGTCAGGGTACCCAACCAATAGAATCTTTACCGAAAAAATAATAGAATCTTTCATCATATGTCATATGAACAGTAAAAGAAAAAAGGGCAGTCTCCTAAACTTCCCTTTTAAGGAAATATGCACACATTTGTGTTTCAGTTGTATCAACTGCTGACATTTTAACAGCTTCCAGTTTCTCGGGGAATATTTGAGATCAGGAATCTTGAGAAGTTCATATTGCCATAGGCAGAAAGTTAACGGTGGACTTACTCCCATGGGCCATCACCGAGAAGTAGGAAGTCACCCTCATCATCCTGGTAGAGACACGTCCAACCTTTAGTCTGTCGTTCTTCGAGTTGCCCTTCGATGCCAAACATGTGGGCCAAAGCTTGATATAATTCTCCGTATTCAGAGAACCTACCGATGTCAATGGAGCGGCCTATAGCCCCACCCACGTTTGTGGACCTAAAAAACATAGGTTAAGATAACATGCAGAAGAATGAATGAACACAACAAAGAAAGCATATGGTCAAGAGATCACGGCTCATTAATAGAACAATACCCATGTTTGGCATCATAGGCATAATATCCAACTGTCTAAAGCTAATAGAACAATACCCATGCAACAATGTTTAAGAAGGACACTACACTATCATTTGGCTGAGCTAAATTCACCCATACCCGCTCTCATTTAAATGGTTTGGGCCAGGTCAACAGTTGGCGTGGCCCGAAGATGAATGGACCACCACCACAAATTGAAGATCTTCATAGGAGTAAGGATATTATGCCTAAATACTTGCCTATATCTGACCATACATACAACCGTCATCTTACTACATATCCTGATAGTCCTTATATGATGGATATTAGAAAATTACAGTTCCAAACTTTTTTTTTTGCGGGGGCACAGTTACAAACTTTGATAACTAGCCAGAGCATAACTTAGTTTTGACATGATGATTATGTGCATAAATATGTCCTGATAGTCCTTATATGATGGATATCTATTCTAACATTTGGAGGAGGCTCTGCTTCATAATAAATCAGCATTACAGTGCAGTGGTCAGAAATGCACTTCTGTTTCTCAGTAATGCCTCACAAATTACTCATTATGCATTAGGAAACATACACTGCTTGAAAAAACATATTGTCTAGAGGAAAGAGCAAACCTTAATGAGTGGCATCCTCTGGCAAAGGGGCAAGGCGCCGAGAATTTCTGTTCAACAATCAACAAGGCGGCATCGTTAATTAGAGAATCGATGGGACTCCAAGCCATATCTGATGACAAAATGACAGAAACCATGCAAACCGACATTTCCCGACGAGCATCCTCTCTTTGCATTCTGTAGTTGAGATACGATTTTGACACTTGGCAAACTCAAGTGCAGTTACCAGCAAGACTAGTGTTTCCATACCCTCTGCCCAAACTGCCACTCCTGGTTACTACTTGGATCCATGGCTCGACTAAAATTATCCAAAGCGGGGTTTCACTCTTTAGAAAAGATACCTAGTACTTATATTTGGCTTCACATCTTAGCTCATCAACAATCGCTACAAGTATTGGCGCAAGTCAATTTCAAGCACACATGAGATATTTTTGTCTAAGCTCATCTCACGCAAGTGTTTTGCGCGTTGGTACAACCCCTTTAAAAGTTTGCATGAATCTTATAAAGATACTTTAAAAGGTTATCGTCATATTAGCCTGCAAACGTATGAGTAGATTGATTTGTAGACAAAAGACTATATTATCTCTTTTTTGTTAAAGGGGTACCTTCTAGTAATCACCACCTTTTAATCTGAATCGAAACCTGTAAACTTTTCTAGGGCACGCAATTAAGAAAAAACTTCTTTATTTTCTCGTAGAGCAATCAACGAAAACTGACTGTATCGGATCATACCCCCAACGAACCCCATATCGTTGCCTTGCTACATCAATCCGAAGCAGTGCAGTTTAGCTCAACCTGAGGATCCGGGGCGTAGGAACCCTGCCCAGATCATCCCAATCCGGAGGCGCTCGAGGTTTCCCCGCCACCTAAAAAGGGGAATGGACCGAGGGGAAATGGAGGAGCGATGGCTGGGGGAGGGACGAGGTTTCTCACCTGACCTGACCACGGGCGGGCGGAGGGCGGAGGAGCCGGAGAGCAGTGGTAGTGGTGGTTTGGTACAGGACAACAGATCAAGTGATCAACCGGCTCTGCGGTGCGCGTAGAGGGGGGTAGGGGCCAGCTCTCACCGCACCCAGCAACGCGGTAGGCGAACGAGAACACGACAGGTGCAGCTGTTTGTTGGCGTCCGCATCGGTCAAATCAGCATACAGAATTATTGGTTCCCTCGTCACTCGTCAGCCCAGGTCAGACACGATGTAACTTAAAAAATAAACCAAGTTCATAGAAAAGTTTATCAGAAGTTTTTCTGAGGTCAAACAATCAAAGTTTTACTTTGCGTATGAGGTTTGTCTGAAATCAAACAATCAAAATTTTAATCAAGTTCGTAGAAACGTTTATCAACATTCACAACAAAAGGTGTGAATGTTATATTGTGACATGGCAAAATTTCTACATGTGAGGGCCCCGCTCTCACCTCACCGCACCCAACAGCGCGGTAGGCGAACAGGCACACGACACGTGCTCTAGTTTGTTGCCGTCCGCATCGGTCAAATCAGCGTACAGAGTTATTGGTTCCCTCGTCACTCTACGATATACTCCCTCCGTCTGAAAAAAATTTGTTCTAAATTTGTCCCTTAAATGGATGTATGTATCTGTATATACGTACTTGTGAAAATAAATCGGTTTTTCTTAAACACCGGCCCTACTTTCTTTTTTTACTTCGTACATTAGGTTTGTCTGAGGCAGAACTATTGAAAATTTGACCAAGTTTATAAAAAAGTTTATCGACATTCTTAATACGAAATTGATACTATTAGATCCATCATAAAATAGTAGGCTAGCCCTGGAAGCGGATTAGGAGCACTCGGGTGCTCCACCCCCCTATATTCAAAAATAATTTAATAATTCAAAAAAAGCCAAAAAAATGTTGGATATATTTTTGAACGAAATATGACTAGGTATTGTACTCATATAAAATGTTTGGCCAAGGAATAATTCTCGTTGACTTCAGGACAAAAAACAAATTTATGACGATAATATAGCATGAATAGTACTTGTATCTAGTATTTTTTAAGAAATCTTTAACCCCAAATACAATAAAAGTTATTTCCTATTTAAATCTTTTTATACGAGTGCAATACCTGGTCATGTTTGATTCCATAAAAAATTCCAGGATTTTTTTGACTTTTTGTGAATTATTAAATTATTTTTGAATATAGAAGGGCATAGCACTCGAGAGCTCCTATGCATTCTCGGCTAGCCCTGTGGTTTAATGGCTATAGGATTGAAGAGCTAGCCCTGCCAGTTTTTTTAGCGAAAACCTTCATGGCGGGTTTATTCATTATTAGGCAAAAAAAATCGTTTCATAAGACAGCCACAAGAAAATTAGGAGAATCCTCTTACCACACAAGAGGGCTAAGCTCCGACTTACTAGCTAAAACATGTGTCGCCATATTGCCTTCCCTAGAACAAAACTCGAACGAAACATCACTGAGCTCATGACAAACATGACAAAGGAAGAAGCAATCATAGTACTAGATCGCTGCCGCGGGCCCAAGAGAATGGCCACCATGTTTTATAATCTCAATCACCTCCATGCAATCGGAGTTCACTATAATCATGTTGCACCCCATGGCTAGCCCTGCAAGTTTACAACAGGGTGACCAAACGAACAAGGGATAGGCGGAGTGTCTACGATGCTCTATCCGATGGAGCTTGGGCTCGTGATGTTGGGCCGTCAATGGACGCGGCAGCCGTAGAGCATCTTCAGCCGCGTCTCCGACAAGGTCCCCTAGGTGATTTTTCAGCCGCCGATGTCAAAAAATCGATCCAGTCGCGTCCCTATGGGCTCAATTTTCGCCGGCTCGAGTCGAAATTGGTGCCGACGGATCCAACCCGACCCCGGCGAGCTGGGGGCGCTCGGGGGCGCCCGGCGAATCGTTTTTGACGTGAAAGAGCCGCGGGCCCTCTTTGCCAGTGACTTGTCTCGCTTCTCGTCGCTTCGTCGTCCTCATAGCCTCATTTTCCGCGGCGAATCAATGCCAAAGCTGCCGCGCCGGTCAGCCTCCGCCACTGATGCCTCATGGGCGGCGCAATGAAGGCAATGACGACGCGCGTCCCCGCGCATGCCATGCGTAACGCGGCGCCAAACGTGTGTGCGGCGCCTCCGCCTATATAAGCCGATCCCCAGCGCGCCGGTGGCACGCACAGAGTCTCCACCGCCGATGCGTCCTCTCTCCCCTTCCTCCTTCTCCCCTCGCCGTCCCTGGTTCAAAGAAATGGCCGAACGCTTCCCAGGTGACGGCGCGGCGGCGAATGGCTTCGGCCGCCGTCACCTTCACGAGACGAAGCCCGGCTCCTCTTCGAGGCCGAGTACCCGGTCCCGCCGGACATGCGGGTGCCCGGGGCGTGGAGAATCAGCGCCGGCGGGGTCCCGGTGCCACCACCACCCACCGGGGCGGCGCAGCGTGCGGAGATCGCGCGTATCCGCGCCTCCCTATCGCGAGCGGCGAGGGAAGGGCCACGATATGTCCCGGACAGCCCGCTCTAGGAGCCTTACTTCCGCCACCGCCACGCCGAGCAGTCGATGCCACCAACGGCGTCGTGCCCTCCGGCAGACTCAACTCCGAGGGGCGGCGCCGATGGTGGGGCGTGCCCGGCCGCATGCTGGAGGCCGTCCTCGAGTACATCGAGGGCGGCAACACGCCGAGGCTGGAGTACCCGGAGCCCCCGTCCTTCTCTCGCCGCCGTGGGAGCTCGTGGGCGCCGAGGCGCATGGACCCCGGGGCGTCCTCCTCCTCGTCCGGTCGGTCAGGTGGCTCTCCCTGCCTCCGCCCCGTCAAGCCGAAGCCCCAGGACGACACGCCTGTCAGCCGGCGCACCTGCAACTCTGGTGTCCGCATCGCCGACTCCGCCCCCGCCTTGGACTGTCACGTCCTCGTCGCGCCCAAACCAAAGCTCAGCCTCCCCCCGGAGTACGAGGAGATAGCCCGGCGCGGCTTCTCCGATGCGGACGCCCTATGGTGGGCGCGCGACGACTACCTCCGGACTAAGATGGCCCGGCAGACCCGGGCCCTGGAGGAGATCGCCGCCCGCAAGCGTGGGCGCGAGGACGAGCACGGCGTCGTGATCCCCGACAGCGACGACGACGAGGACGCCGCCGGACCGTCCAACCCGTCGCGCCAACCGGGGGAGGGTTGCAGCAGGGACGGCGGCCGCGGCGGAGGCGGCGACGATGACGACAACGACAACGACGACGACGACGACAGCGACTACACGCGGTTCTACAGCCTCCTCGGCATGTAGAACTGTAAGGGCGGCGGGCGGCGAGGAGCGGCGAGGCGAGCGAGACGGCGGGCGGGCCTAGTAGTGTATTTTTTTCTTTTTGTAAAATATTTTAAATATGTATGAGTGGGCGTGTTTGTGCCGTGTTTGGTTGAATTTGGTTTGAAGTCGCCGAAATATGTATGAACTCGCAGAAATGGTTGAATTTACGCCATGTTTGTGCCGCAATTTAATTTTTAAAAAATTCCGTGGACGTCGCGACTGGGTGGCATCACGTCCTCAGCGCGCGTTTTGCACCGGTGCATCTCCAGGGGCGATTTTTAGCGCCTCCTGGAAGGCCAACGGCTGGAGATGATCTTAACGCAATTCCTACACCTTTGGCCGCTCATGGCCGGGATTGTTCTGGACCCGCAGCAAAGGGATACCATTGCTTGGTAATGGGAGAAAGGAGGCTGGTTTATGGCCAAGTCTGAATACGCGGCCAAGTTCACGACTATGGAGGTGTCGCCCACTACTTCGTTCACTTGGGTGGAGTGGGGGCATACATACATGTAATAACAACATGTAAACCCAGTTGCGACGGGGCTCTTTCCCATCTCTTTTATAATACTCCCTCCATTTTAAAATAAATGACTCAACTTATATACTAACTTTAGTATAAAGTTTTTTTTTTGCGGGTAACTTTAGTATAAAGTTAATATAAAGTTGAGTCACTTATTTTAGGACGGAGGGAGTAATACACATGAGAAAAACAAGATAACCGCATCAATGAGCAGGGTATTATGTAGTATATATGATTTATAATACCACTCTTGAGAAAACCATGATATGCATATTTGATTGCAATATAGGGAGTATTATGAAATATAATGTGGATGGAACATACAGCATCCAAAAACACATGTAATTTACTCATGTTGGTTGGATGTACTATACTGTAGAAATGCTTTCGTTTTGGAAAGATGATACCGTTGGAAACCCTAACAGACTTCCTAACTTGGAATGCTAACAAATACTCCCGTCCGAAATTACTTGTTGGAGAAATGAATATATTTCTCTGACAAGTATTCCTAGACGGAGGGAGTACAAAGATTACCAGGCCAGCATGATGATCATACTCGTTGGAATGTACCGATAGATTAAATTTGTCTCGTTGGGTCTTAGTTCTAGGGTCTAACGAACTGTTGAATAATATACTTTACCCTGGAGTGTGTTCTGATATTTACCATTGGCATGATTAAATTTAGAGTTGTTGCCAGAAAATAAAATTGATACCCCACACGGAATAACAAAAATACATTGTATAATTGCATTGACTACTTATCACAAAAAGAAATCACATTGATTACTATAGAGAACTTAGTAATGCTATTATTACTTTGTCAGCCTAACAGGTACAAGACCAGAGCAGGTTTCAAGTCATTGCCACGCACAAGTATGAAAAGTAAAATAGACTTCTCTGAAATCATTCAAACATCAGCACAGATAACATGGCGCGAGATCGCATCAGCGAAAATGCGTATATACCCCATCTCTGGGTACATGGCATCAAACTGGCTACAGACTAATTTAGCTACTCAGTGCTATGGATAGCCGCAAGACTTCAAAAATTTAGGCTACCCCACCTCTGGGTACATGCCAACGACTGAATATTGCAAGATAACCAAAACTTCTTCGGCCAATGCTGAATCCTGCTAATGATTTGCTACAAAGACGCACCACTTGATTTATAGGATGCAGCGTTTCCATCGCCGATTCAAGTATGCCGTTCCATGAACTTCTCAATCGCCACAGAGAAGGCACCAAAACCCACGCACCCGATACATGTAGCTTGAGGGCCACCTGCAAGAAAAATACCAGTTCCATTAGGGAGGATGAAATATCAAATTGGGCTGCATAACCAATAACAGTATAACAACTTGCTAGTGGTGCTAGAGTGCTTTGCTAATTGTTATCCACGCTTCTCTCGTCCTCATTATTATTATTTACTGCTTTATTAGCTAGCAAAAAAATGATTCAAAATAAGCAATCACAACTTTGGCTAAGCAGTAAAGAATCAAGGGGTAGACAAGGCAAGTGGTCAAAACACCATAACAGAATGCTGGCCTGGCACACCGACTACATGATGAGTATCTATAAGCTCCCGAATACAGTAAGAAGTATAGCATTGGTTAAACTATCTGAAATCTCATAACAGAGAATGTGGGACACAAACTGCTAGCCTGACGCACCGACTACATGATGAGTACGACTGCCCTTCAACTTGCCCTAGTAGAACCAAACTACTTTTAGAGTGAGTTTACTCCCATTCTTACAGTCAAAAAGAAATGTCGGCCCATCCACCTCAAGCCAGCCTAAAACATCTCTAAATATTGCAGATAGGGAAATTCTCTTAGGAGCATAAGTCGATCCATTGTAAAAATTATGTTGGTTCTCATCCACAGTTATTTACAAGAAGACGTACCTTTTGCGGCTAAAGCCCCTCCTGTGACACAGCCAGCTACTGCCGAATTGGTAATGTCATGCTTTGCCCGAGCCTGACAGGATATGACCATTCGAAGCGTCCAAATAAGTATGTTTTTACAGAAATGCTCATAAATGGAATGAAAAAAAATGTCACGCTGCACCTACCTTCTCTACGACGCATTCAGCTGCAGAGAAAATCAAGCCCATCACTGCAAAGGTCTTAGCATGGCTCATACTTTTCCTACCCATCTGTTTTGCCTGGTAGACTATTTGTTGCCTTGCTGTCATCTCCTCTGACATTATCGGATTTTCCAAAGCTCCAAAAAACAGTCCCATAAGTACACCAAGACCACCACCTATTGAATGAAAGCAATGCAGTTAATAACAGATGTGCATACTCCATAAGTCCATTTTATGAAACATTATGCACTTGTAAGTGAGCCCCATGTGGGATAAGCCCATAGCTGATGCTCTAAGTAGTTTAGCATGACGCAAAATGATTGACAAGCATAGAAGCACAAGCCAGTAGCCAACAACTCAACATGACTTCTAAGTTAGTATAGGACGGAGTATCCAGCCACTGACTATTGGCTGTTGTCTTAAGGATACCAACTGTCAAACTATAGGAAATACTGATAGTTTGGTAATACATAAAATAGAGTGCACGGTATCAACATCACTGATTCTATCCTCTAAACGTTAACAAACAAATCATTAAGCAGGGCAAAATCAGACAATAAATACTTTAACATCGCAGGCCTTTGCCATGTTCTAGATTCAATGACAATATCAACAAGTTGTTGGAAAGCTACATATACTGCACAAGTGAACTAGTACTCACACGTGGACGCACATACACACACAATGCTATAGCATTAGATCCGATGTTTAGTTTCTTCATTTGAAGCAGAAGAAACAGCAGATCATGGAATGAATGGATCAGAGCAAACTTTTTTTAGGAGACAACTGGATGAACCACACCTGCTCTGATCGATTTTATTCACGCAGCAAAAACTGTACAATCAAGCATGCAAACAGAGGAAGGCACATACCCAATGCTAAAAGGAACAACACTAGGAAACCAGGAGATAAGATGGCCAACATCCAAGGCAGAGGAAATGCAAACCTTCCAAAGGTCAGATTGGTTGCGAATAACACTAGGAAAGGCCACAACATCAGTGTTGACATGATCAAACACCAAGCCATTACCAGCATGGCTGCGATGTATGTCTATTGCATTATACTTCTTGCAGCATTGACATGAAAAGGATTCAGAGAGGCGCACTGCCAAACAGCAACCTTTCTAAAGCTGTACAAAAATATTCAGATTATTGCTCAAAAATTAGAAAAACTGGCAGACCAACCTTCACTAAACGCCAACCTTGCTATTTTCTGCACATCACGCTGTATGCCTATGGCACAATGTTGTAGCTACAACAGATAACGATTGTGCATTGTTAAGCAGCAACCTTTCTAATGCTCTACCAAAACCCTTTTCAGACTACTTGAAACTTTATCCAACCACTTTCTGAATACTTGACCATCTGACATGTAGAGAAACTCTCAATCTTTAATTCTTTGAAAGGTAATAATACTACGTGTGTTATGGCCGGCATATACTACAGCCCAGGCAGTTAGGGGCCTGGCCCAGTTATCGTATTTGGAGATTATATAAACTCATGTAAGGACTCATTTGAAGTTAAGCAGAAGCAAACATATTTGCTCGGCTTCCTGAAGGGAGCTGGGAGACCTAACCCTAGCCGCCGCCTCCTGCGCCCTCTCTCTCGCGCGCGCGACGGCGCCCCGGCGCCGGCGACCTCGCCTTCCTCCATGCCAAGCCCCCTTCCACCCCTACAACCTACGAGCTAGACCCGGTAGGAACCCAGCTCCTACCAATCTGGTATCAGGTGTCTCAGGCTCGATCATGTCCGCGCCACCGCCCACCCCCTCCCTTCCGCTGCCGATCGCCTCTTCGTCGCCGATGACCGCGGCCAGCACGCCGTCCCTGACCGGGCCGGCCTCCTCCGCCGCCTGGACGCCACCCGCGCCCGCCCCTGCCGTGCTCACCCCGGAGGAGATGACGGCGGCGCTCCGGGACCTGACTCAGGTGGTCCAGGGCATCTGCACCTTCCTCGCGGGGCACTATGGGTTGCAAGCCTGCAGCCGCCCGCCCCCATCACCACCATCCCGGGGCCGCAGCAGCTCCCGTGGCAGCCGCCCCCACCAGCGACCTCGGCGCATCCATCATGCCACTGCCGCAGCGGCAGCAGCCGCCGCCACCACCGGCGATCTCGGGGCCGGGCCTTCCGTCGACGGCGCCCGGGGTGCCCATCCACCAGGTCCTTTTCCCCCGTCGCCATCTCGGCTACCGGCCTGGCTCGTCGGATCCATCGAGCCTGTCTACACGATGGCTTCAGGACAGCCACACGTGCTGTCACCGCCGGCGCCGCCCCCGATCATGCAATTCGGCGGGTCCTCGGGTGCCGCGGGTCCCTACAATGGTGTGGACGGGCCCCTTTTCCATGGCAGTACTCTGCAGCCCGCACACTCGACGCCGTCGCACGGATGACACATACCCGCCCGTCGTCCACGCTCAGCCACCGCCGAGATTCTCCAAGCTGGAGTTCGCGACCTACGACGGCACCGTCGACCCCCTGAATTGGCTCAACCAATGCGACCAATTTTTCAGGGGGCAGCGCATGCTTGCGTCCGACCGCACCTGGATCGCCTCCTATCATCTCCGAGGCGCCGCCCAGACGTGGTATTACGCCCTCGAGCAGGACGAGGACGGCATGCCACCATGGGAGCATTTCCGCGATCTGTGCCTCTTGCGCTTCCGTCCGCCTACACGCAGGAGCCATCTGGCGGAGCTTGGGGGCCTTCCGTTCCTCACCACAGTGCAAGACTTCGTCGACCGCTTCCAGGCACTGGCGTGCCACGCCCACGGTGTTTCGGCTCGTCAGCGGGCTGAGCTCTTCGTCGGCGGCCTACCGGACCACATCCGCGTGGACGTGGAGATGCGCGGGCCACAGGACCTCCAAACGGCCATGTACTACGCTCGCGTGTTCGAGCGCCACGCGGTGGCCATCCAGCAGGCGTCACCGCCCCGGGCCGCTAGGCCGCCACCCTGGCCGGAAGTTCCCGCGCAGGGTCGGCCTGCTCAGGCTTCCGTGGCGCCCCTCGCCGTGACAGCGGCGCGCCCGTTCCGCCGGCTCACCCCGGCCGAGCAACTCGAACGTCGCCGCCAAGGGTTGTGCTTCAACTGCGACGAGCCCTACGTGCCCGGACACGTCTGCCCGCGACTCTTCTACCTGGAGGTTGCGGACTACATTGAGGAGGACATCGCCGCCGCGGGGCTCGGCGACCTGCCCGCCCCAGCTGACGCGGAGGTGTTTGGCGCCCGTTGATCACCTCGAGGAATTCCACAAGCGCTTCCCCACCCTTCCAGCTCGAGGACGAGCTGTTTGTGCAGGCGGGGAGAGATGTTATGGCCGGCATATACTACAGCCCAGGCAGTTAGGGGCCTGGCCCAGTTGTCTTATCATTATTAGAGGCTTAGCCCAGTTATCATATTTGGAGATTATATAAACTCATGTAAGGACTCGTTTGAAGTTAAGCAGAAGCAATCATATTTGCTCGGCTTCCTGAAGGGAGCCGGGAGACC